TCCCTAAGTAACTGTTCATTTTTGTTTTGTTTTGTTTTTTTAATACTACATCCCAGGACAATCTGGGCTTTAAAGAGAATCTTGTAATACTCCATACTTCCAGGCCTGGCTTTTTAAGTTTAAGTCTGTGACAAACTTCTTCATGGTTTCTCCTTCATTCTATGTTCTCAACCTGAACATATCTTTTGTAAGATATTTCCCCCCCAGGAACACAATGATTCTCAAACAATTTACTTATTTCTGGTAAGATGTTCTCTCTTTCCATGTTACCATCTTCATGGAATGTATTTTATAGCAGTGCTGCACTGTTAAGAGCAGAATAATCTTTTGCTCATCCTCCAGTTTATTTGCTCCTGTGGCTTTAGCATATAGTTCTAAACACTGTCTGAACCATTCCCATGAATTATCAGTATTTCCCCATTTCTCAGGGCTGGTGGAGGAATTTATTTGCAATGACACTAGCACTGCAATGTTTTTCTCCTTATGGTACAATGAAATAGATTTTTTAATAACTAAGATTGGCTTCAACATTAACTTTTTTTCTCCCTTGGAATGGAGTCTATGAACAGAAATATGTTTAAAAAAAGAATTAATTCACTAGCTGTATCCTGTGACTGTCTTGTTCCCCTTTGAATATGAATAAAACAATATGAGGTGCTGTACAGAGAGGAATGCAAGCAAAACTAAAATGACAAAACTTGAATATAGAGTATACAAGCATCATAGTTTAACAGAGAGCCTATGGCTCCTGTTAGTTAGAGCGCAGGAAATAGGGGCACACTCTACTCAGGTAGTAAAGAATGGGGCTAGCTGTAATGGAATAGGCAGCCAAAGCCCACAGAATGGGAAGTGCCTATTGCTGTGCTAGGCACAGATACTGCAGTGCGAGTAGATCCCTGGCAGTAGTACGAGACAGTCTTGTGTGAGAGACAAGGCAAAACTGCTGTTAGATCTGGTACTATAGGCTACCCTGAAGGCCAATAAGCAAAGCTCATTAAAGGAACCTGAAAACAGCCCAGGGAGTCACCAGACCACAAGGTGTGCAGGGGTCTGTGGCATATAAACAGGAAGTCTGACCCTGGAGGCTGAAGCTGAAGGAGTTCTACAGTAAGATGCCTGCTGATAAGAGCTCAATACAGACCTTGCTATCCCAGAGAGATGTCAGTAAGGAGCTAAGGGCTGGCAGGGGGTTAGACTCTGTGTGGATGGGGATTGCAGAAGAGAGCCAGGGTGTTTAGATAATTACGTTATAGCAAGTGAATATTCATATTCAAAGGGTTTTGGCTTGAGGTTTAACTGGTGGTCTAGGTTTGGAACTGTAGGGAAGGTCAGGAGGTCCCAGTAGTTCCTGTAAAGCATATAAGCTTTGAGGCTGCTGGGTAAAGGAGAGGACAGGACAAGTGGTAGTATAGCTGCCCAGGAGGGGCAGTGATAAGGAATCTGCAGCCCAGGAGGGGAAGAAATGGGGTTAATGAGAGCCCAGTACTCAAAGGAAGGGCAGAGATGGGCTAGAGAAATCCCAGATGCAAGAGGGCCAGAGAATGACAAGAGACTGAAAAGGTAGATGAGAGATTGGGGCCTAGGGTCCACTGAATTGTTTGACTGATACACCTATAAAGCATGGGCCCTGGTGCAGGGGCAGATGGAGGTCATCTGTAATGGGTGCCCTTGGTGGTGTGTTTGGGTGAAGAGGGCCCACCTAGCAGGAAAGAATATTTGATTGGGAACAGCAGGGTCTAAGAGGGATCCACGGGTAAAGAGGACGGGTTATGGCTTGTTCTAAGACACTTTGGTAGCCTCCTTTTTCAAGTTTCTCAATAAGATCAAGGAGTGACAGGCAAGAACACAGGAAGGATTCCTTAGAAACAGAGCAGAGCAGGAGCTGAGTCTCTACCGAGGGAGAGCGGGAGGGAGGGATGATGGCCACCTCTGTTACACTGGCCCTATTACATCGCTACACTTTCTAAAGAACTTGTTCTATAACAGAAATAAAATGGTTAGCCTCTCTCCTTTTTCTCCCCTGAACAGACCAGACTCCTACATTTAAATATGACACATTTTATGGACTCAAAGCACGAGGTTTAATCTTTTTACACTTCATGAACTCCAAAGGCAGAAAGGACCACTGATAATGCTCTAGTCTGCTTTCTTGCATACATACACCATAGAATTGCTCCCTAAACCTAAAAAAATGTCATTTAGAAAGATGCCTAGTGGCAAGTCTGCCATTTCACTTGAAAAGGTATTCTGATGTTTAATTAATCTCAGGGTTAAGAAACTGCAACTCATTTGATGATTAAATTTCTCTACCTTCAACTTCCAGCCATTGGCTTTTATTATACCTTTGTCATCAAGACTGAAAAGGCCCCAATTATCAGCTGTGTCTGCCATCTGTAATGACCGAATATAGCAATTAAATTACTTTCCAGCTTCTTATTAAACTGAATAGTTTGAACTCCTTAGCTAGCATCATAAGACTTGTTTTCCAGCCTATCTTTTTTGTCCCTTCTTTGAGTGCTCTCTGAAATTTCCATACCCTTCCTAAACTGTGTATACCCAAACTAGACATAATATTCTAGGAGTTGGGGGTAGGGGGGATCGCCTCAATCCTGTGTACAAAGGCAAATTCGCATAACCACTTCTACTTGATATTTTCAATTTTAGAAACCTAACAGTTGCAATTAGCCATTTTAGCCACAAAACTACACTGCAATCTCATGCTGATGAAATTCTCTTTAATGAACTTCGAGTTCTTTCTGAGACACCATTTTTCAACAATCCCTCAGCTATGCATAGATAATCTATTTTCTTAGCTCCTAGATGTAACACCTTGCATTTGCTTGTTTTAAAACTAATTTTGTTGGATGGTGAGTATTTAACCAGGCAGATAAGACTACTCTAATGCGCAACCTGCATTCACATTAACAACCTAACCAGTCTTTGTCATCTACAGACTTTACTAGTAAAGATTTTACAGTACTGTCTTGATAGATAAAAATGCCGAATAGTGTTCACCAAGAACGTTTCTCTGGGTATCATATAAGTAACTGACCCACTCATTTATAGTTCTTCATTAACAAATACATTCTGAGATCTGTCTCTCAGCCAGTTTTTAATCAATCTATTGTGTGCCCTGTTAATTGACTGTAATGCTAGTCATTTAATCTTATTTGATTTTATTTATTAGTCAGATGACTTCAAGAATCCAAGTGTATAAGCATCATCACAATTGCTTTTATGAACCAGAACTTGTGCTCTCAATTCCCTGCAAAACACAAGGTATTTCTTTGCCAGACCTGGCTTCCATGAAATCAACTTGTACTAAGTTGCCTTTTTAGCCTCTAATTCGTTTGATAGAGGCCCAAATGATCAACTCTATTGTTTTGACAGGACAGGCACCGGGCTAATAATGGAATTTCTCCATTTTTCCAATAGTTGTTAAAATTTAACATTAGTGATTTATTGAGCTGTTCAGCTAAAAGTTTTCATACTTTAAGAGGTAAGATTTTTGTACCTGTTGAAATTGAAATGATGCACCAAGATGTTTTAACACAAATTATTTGTTTGTTTTATTTGTTTCTAGGAAATTTTATTTAAAAATGTCAATACACTTTACATTTCATTTCCAAAGAAGACTGCAAAGGCATCATTTTATATCTAAAGTGTTCTTTTAAACTATGCTCAAAAATATTAATGGCACCATTTTGTGAGCAGCTTATTTCCAAAATTAATGAGACCTGTTTTTCAGCATTCAGTAGTGACCCTTTCAAAATAAGTAATAATACTTAATAGTTATCATGGAATCATTTTAGGGTTGGAAGAGATCTCAGGAGGTTACCTAGTTCAACCCCCTGTTCAAAGCAGGCTCACCGCCAGCTATATCATCCCAACCAAGGCTTTGTCTATTTGGGTCCTAAAAACCTCCAAGGATGGAGATTCCAAAACCTCTCTGGGTAACCTGCTCCAGTGTTTTACTACCTTTCTAGTAAGACATCTTTTCCTAATATCTAACCTAAACTTCCCTTGCTGCAGCTTGAGGTCATTGCTCTTTGTATTCTCTAGCTCCATCCTCTTTGGAACTACCCTTCGGGTAGATGAAGGCTGCTATTAAATCCTCCTTCAGTCTTCTCTTCTCCAAACTAAATAAGTCCATTTCCCTTAGCCTGTCCTCAGAAGTCATGTGCACCAGCTCCCTAACCATTTTCATTACCCTCTACTGGACTCTCCAGTTTGTCCACATCCTTTCTGTAGTGATGGGCCCAAAACTGGACACAGAGCTTCAGATGTGGCCTCACCAATGCTGAAGAGGTGAATAATCACTTCCCTTGATCTGCTGGCAATACTCCTACTAATGCTTCCAAGTATACCATTAGCCTTTTTTGCAACAAGGGAACATTGTTGGCTCATATTTAGCTTACTGTTTGTTCACTGTAACCCCAGGTCCTTTTATGCAGAGCTGCTGCTTCATCAGTCAGTCCCCAGCCTGTGCTGGTGCATGGGAATGTTCAATCCAAGGTGCAGGACTTTGCATTTTTCCTTATTGAACCTCATGAGATTTCTTTTGGTCCAATCCTTCAATTTGTAGAGGTCTCTCTGAATCCTAGCCCTACCCTCCAGCATATATACTACTTCCCTTAGCTCTGTGTTATCTGTAAACTTGCTGAGGCTACACTCCATCCCATCTTCTAGGTCACTGATGAAGATATTGAGCAAAACTGGCCCGAGTTTTGCCACTCACAAACTGACAGTTGGAAAACATTTTGTATTCTGTGTCAATTCTTATCTTTTTTACAAACACACAATGGAGTGCCATGTGAAATACAATGCATTAAACATTTTCAAGTTCACTGGAAAGTTCTATTAAACTACAAAGTATTAGTTATTTTGGTAACAATGTCTTAAAATCCAACACAATTGCAACTTTTTCATGATTTAATAGGATGTCTAACACTCACACACTGACAATAGGAAAACACTTTGTACTCTGTGCCAATTCTTACCTTTTTTGCAAACACACAATGGAGTGCCATCAACCTGTGCCAGGCAGGTTGAATTGTTTATACATGGATTGTAGTGTGGGTCACAGGGGTTGTAGCGCTGCTGGCAAGAGTCTCCAGTATAAAATGGAGGACAAAGGCATATAAACTGCCCCTGGACAACAGACTCATAGCAGGTCCCTCCATTCAAGCATGGGTCAGAATCACATTCATTTATATCTTCATTACACTGTGACCCTGTCCAGCCTGCTGTACATGTGCATCTGAAAAAAGATAGGGTGAAGTTGAGATGAATATGCTTATTAAGCTTCATCAGTTCATAGCATTTACTACACTTTATCAATTTATACAAATTTTATTCATAACAATTAGTAAATCCTTTCTCCATGTAAGTTGTGCCTGTGTAATCTGTTTTTATGCTCTGTGAATGAAAAAATGTACTGTCAATTTACATAAAATGTATAGAATTCATGCTACTTAATATGTGATTTTTCCCTGCTTCATAAATCAATTCAATGATCATGCAATATTAAGTCTTTTGAATAAAAGTTTTCCTTTGCTTTTTGACTTGCCACTACCCTAAAAAACCCCACAAGTATTATTAAAAATTTTAAAAACTCTATATTTCTGGAGTGTATGTATATAAAGGCACAAGGCAGTAGACAGTTTTTCAGCATATTTTCTATTATGAGTCAAAAAAAGAAGGAAAAATTACAGTAACTATACCCAGATTCTTCCCTTTCTTCTGTGTATTCTGCTCCCATTTTGCATACATTTTTGTAAGAAATGGATTCTGAACACAGAGGACAAAATTGTGAACAAGCATTTATACTTCCTGTGACCCTTATAGCTCCATTTTTTTGTGACATAAACACATCCCTGTCCTCTTTTACAGCATAAACATGATGACAGGGTCTTTGAGATTTAAACACAGATTACAATTCTGTGACTAGACCAATGAAAGTTTTACCACTGACTTCAAAGGGAATAGAATCTTCCTTGCATTTTTGCTTGCTTAGGAAATAATGAAGTCAGCTGCATTGTAATTGCATATTTGAATACCACTTCTAGCTATAGCCTTGATTCAAACACATTCAATTAGTCAAGTGAAATTCAGTCTGAGTACAATAGGTACAATTAGGATGGTGTTGCTTGACTAAGTAAAAAGAATTGGAAAGCCCTCTTGTTTTACAGAGATTGCCTGCCTCACACAACAACTTCCCAGCATAATGTATTTTATGCAGACTTTTGATTATGTTTTTCAGTTAGATAGATATATAGACTCAATACAACAATTATAATCTTAAATTGACTAAATTAGTGAGTGGAGGTTGTGCTTGATGATTTAAAAAATAGTGTTGATCCCAACTAAATTAACCTTTCACCACTAAACTAACACTTGTGACTTCAACTCCTATTAAGCCCTAACAAAAATGAATATCACAAAAAAAACTGCTAAACTCAAGGAGGAGTTAGAACTCTAAACTTTAAAGCTGTTTCAAGAGTCCCCTCATCCACAAATAAAGATAATTTGTGGATTTAGAAGATGATAATATTGCTGGGATGATTCCATCAAGGAGTTGAGTCAACAAAAGGGTGACAGCAGTGAATATTTAGGTTTCATAATGCCCTCAAGAAGAGTATCTTGTACTTCTACTGTAACTATGAACAAAGAAGAATATACATCTCTTTCAGAATGAAGAAAGCAGTGTAATATGCTCCTGTCTCAACTTTAACAGCACTCTCATTCTCATTTTGTCCCAGCATGTTCATCTCATTGCTTTCAAGTAAGCAAATAGTGGCAAGAAGACAAAGAACAAAAGTAATCTTTTACAACATAAAGAAGCCTTATTCTGGTACAATCACACTGTTAGACCTGCAACACCTAGGATTGGAGAAAGTTTGCCAAAATAAATGTCAAGGGATTTGATTTGATTTTTTTTTCTGTAATGATATTAATGGAATGCTGAAATGCTTCTATGATTTTAAATAGCAAGAGCTTCTCTTGTTAAACACCAGAATGGTTTAGTCTGTATTCTTAGAGAGAAAACATTTGCTAACACTGGTGAACAGAGATAAATAGTATATGAACATGAATTTCTAGTAGTCATTTATTTGCCTGTCTCAAGACATATCCCTGAATGGCTTCTTTTAAGAAATAACTTTTTAAATACCTCCTTTGGTTTTATAATACTGTGGTAACATCATTTTAAAATGGTACATGTTATCTATAATAAAGCAAACAGGTTTCACCTAACCTTAGGTGGACTATAAGCTAAATTGTATAAACATACATTAAGCCAAAATCACTATAATTTTGGAAATAAAAACCTTTAATCTTGATTTATTTAGGTAAAACATTCCCTCCATCACTCCTATCTCCCCTCCAATGTAATACAAGATGCACATTTAAGTATCTACAGAAGATTCTGTTCCACAGTACGTTTACTTTGAACAGCCATGACAGTACATAAAGCAAAAGATTCTCCAGGTATATGAGGAATTAAAGGAGGGGGTGTTTTAAGTAAATTATACATCTTAAAACAGTACTCATTAAGTAGATTATATAATGTAGATTATACCTTAAAAAAAGGTATAATCTTAATTAAAAGCTGTCTGCAGATAAATATATGAAATTAACGGGAAATGAAATACTTGTTTATTACTTTTGTTTTCTTTATTAATTAATTTTTCTTTGTGGTCTTTAATAATGAAATTGTTTTAGTTAGCTTAACAGTTGTAATGATTTTGTTAAACTGTGGTGTCCCCTAAGGTATTGTTCCCAACGCATCTGACTAAAACTATAGGAGTCCCATATCTGTGTGAGCATGAAGAGAAAAAAACAAGATTTAAAATCTGGTATGCCATAAAATTATTTGAAACTCAGTAATGAAACAGACCCTTCTTTAACTCTTCACATACCTGGAGAATCTTCTGTGCTGTGTACCATCGTAATTGTTCAAAGGAAACATATTATGGAAGACAATAGTCTTTAGATACTCAAATCTGCATCCTATAATATTTATGCCTAATGACTCAAGAGTCATTTACTGGTTCTCTCCTACAGAAGTCATTTGTAACCATGCCATCTTTCCATTTCTCCTTAAGGAACTACTATCTGTGCAAAATGTTGGGATTCTTCAGTGGCTTTCTTCCAGCTGGCGATTGCCTAGAAGTGAGTGCCTTCCAAATCAATTTAACTGTAAGCAATGTGAAGATTAACACAGAAAGAAAAATGCTGTCTTGACAAGTATCATAATGAAGCCAATTAGAATTGACCACACCAAACAGTTCTGAAATAACAGTATTGCTTTCAACTGTTTAACTGCAGATAAACAAAAGCAACTGCTCTTTTTAGTTCCATGTATTCTGTGTCAAGTTTGCACAAACCACCCCTTATCTTTGCCATAGCGACAGGTATGTCTCCTGAACAAATTGATAGATTTAGAAGTGCAAAAAGGAACTCAATAGTGTCAAATCGGTTTCTTATTTAGCATACAATGGAAAGAAATGGATGTCTGAGTCAAATTCTTAGATGCACTGCCAATCATTCACCTGCTTCTTTCTTTTGTAGGATCTTGATAGAAAATGGCATGACATTCAGTGAAGATTAAGTCAGCCTGTGCACACACCAACGGCTCATTTTGCAAAAAGGTTTGTGCTCTCAACAAAATCAACCAGCAGGTTACAGCTCTGTAGTACTGAGTCATTAATTCCACTCTCTGCAAATTAGAGGGTTCTGCACAATTTAAGACAATGGAAGGAGACCTTATTTTCGGTTCATTTTAACTATCTAGGAATATGCCTACCATGCACAAGTACATGCCACAAAGCTCCAGCAAAGTTGGGCCTTCAACTACTGGGCCTTCAGTAGCATATGTGAAATGAGGTGATAGTCTCAGTCCAAGTAATAATAATAACACGTAGTCCTTCTTTAAGATCTCTTAGCCTCTTACATACCCCCCTAGCATTGTACATACAATAACAAATAGTCCTCTCGACGCTTCTGTATGAAACAAACATAATACTCTCATTTTCCGAATGGTGAAAATGAGGCAGATATATAAACAGCATCACAAGAAACAGAAGTATATTTACACAGCATCACAAGGAACAGAGGGATGGAGCTAGGATTATAATGAATAATTCTTCTAGTCCTGTTTTATTCTTTCAGTCACACAGCAGGCCTCTCCAGGACCCTCAAATAAATAAGACTCTTGATAGCTATAATTGCCATTACTTGATATTATATTTGTAATCTTGGAAGACTGGACATCTCCTCTCACCCAGAAGCAAACTAAGTCATATTTGGAAACCAATGTAAGAAAGTGATATTATATTACCACTACACTGGCTAGTAACAATTATAATTATGGCTTGGTTTAAATTGCGAACCCAGCTTGTGGTGTGGTGACTCCTTTAATGTTGGACTCCCCATCCCTCCTCCCCCACCCCACCCTGCATGTCCCTCTGCTACTGAGTGGTGGAGGGGCCCATTGGCCCCACTGCTCACCTCTTGCTCCTGATAGCTGGGAGGCAAAAACTGCAATTTTAAATATGCTGCAGGTTTTGTCTCCCATCTGGTCAACAGCAAGAGGCATGAGGCAAAAATCATGGCATATTTAAAACAACAGTTTTTACCTCCCAACCATCAGAAGTGAGCAGTGAGTGGTGGGACCGCTGGCCCCCTCCACCAATTAGTGGCAGGGCACATGTCAGGGGAATTACAAGATTAAAGGAGCCACTGCACCACTGCAAGCTGAGTCCACAATTTAAACCAGGCCCTAATTAAAGTTTTACTAGGAAAAGAAATAATTAATTGGTTCAATGCTCAAGTTCAAAAGAAAAAAATCCTAAAGGTGGGCAATTTAAAAATGGTTATTCACAGCAAATATTTTTTTCAATGGTGTCCAATATCCTTGAAATTCCTAACAAGGAGCTCCCTAAGCTCCTCCAGCCCACAGACCATTATCCCATGCTCCTTATTCATGTGGGCACCAATGACATGGCTTGGAGCTCTCCCAGCCGAGTCATGAGGTGCTACAGGGATTTGGGAGCCAGCCTAAGAGTCTGGGGGCACAGGTGGTGTTCTCTTCGATCCACCCAGTCTTGGGGTATGGGCAGAGGAGGGAGAGGACAATTCAGGTAGTCAACCAAAGACTGGGGCACTGGTGTCATAGGGAAGGCTTTGGCTTCCATGACCA